TGGCAAATGCTATCATAAACATAAATATATGAATAAGGAAATGAGCAATCAGGATTATTTAGGGTTATCTAAATTGACACAACCAAAAAGATCTATATTACAAAACACTACGCAGCTGCATACGCTCGTGCATGGGTCAGATCTCGTAGTCATGGCAGAGTTCTGGCATTGGGAGCATTCATATGGGCCAGATATGGCCCATATACTGTACATCAGCGAGGTTTTGGGGTGAGTTTCAGCTTGTTGCATACAGGGCTAGGTGTGGCCAATACACAGCATGAATATTTGTAGGGTTTTATTTGTTATTTTTTGCATAGGGGCCAGATATGGTAGCACTGGTTTACTGGTTTGTGGGTGAGTTCAGCCTATTTGTATCTCAGGCGTGTGCACAGCAAGCTAGGTCTCAAGTAAGTGTCAGTTTAGGAGCGTGTGGGTTAGATGTGGTATTACGCAACAAACTGGTTTGAGGGTTGAGTTGTGACTCGTGACCATATTCAGCATGCTTTCTATGTACCAATATGAGTCTGTCATTTTACAGAAATGTGGGCCACAACACGTTAAATATCCTCATATTAAACAAAAATATCACTACAAACAGTAGGTGTATGCCTATATGCTCTGTACACTGATCCAATTTCTTCAAATTTAAATTTCTATCATAATATATCACTATAGTATAGGTGATAAATGGTTCTAGATAAAATGGAAAGAAAATATCAAGCTGAATTGCACAGCTAAACAAGAGGGTGATCTTGGTGGTCCCTGCTGGTTGAATCTGTGCATATGAGGGCTGATTCCCTGCGCAGTGCTCTTGCGGAAGGTTCGTCTGAACTAAGAGGTGACTGACTGGTAAATAAATACCACTTTTCAATCTAATCTTCAGTAATGTGCTTTATTAAACAGATAAAGAAAACACCAGAAACCAACAGCTAGTAGCTTTGCAATTAGCCAAGCCAAGTAACTTGACTAACTGGAAAGCATATCAAAGCCAGCTCCATAATGCTCAGCGCTCCTAAACATTTATTTTCCAAGTTTCTGGAACTCTACTGGAGGGATAAACGCCATTCTTTCAAATCATATATTATAGTCATTTTGGGTTTCAATGATGGCGGTGGAGAGTGCAGTCTATCGTGTCACTCCAATAGGTGTCCAGTTGGGTTGAGCATAGGATTTTGATTGACATATTTTTGTTTGTCATCAAACCATCCAATGACCCTCAGAGCCCTGTATTGTTAATGTTCCTCAACTGATATATTCAGGTTTTCTCTTCTTGCTTTGTCACCCCTTCCACAGTATTCAAAGTGTGTTGCTTAGCATAAAATAGTTGTATGTTGCATAAGGATATAGTCTGAAGTTCCCTTCTTTTATTAACCACTAAATTAAAGTGTTAAGAGAGGGGGGATGTAAGGATAACAGCATTACAACAAGAGGAAGCTGATGAAGTAGAGATGTATGAAATTTTAATCAGTTGTCATCAGAATGTATGTCCACATACTGCAAGGATGCTGTGTGAAGCAAGGAGCATCTCCCTTTTTCTCTCTCATCTCTCTCTCTGTCTCTCTCTCTCTCACACACACACACGCACACACACACTCACACACTCCTTCCTAACTCCTACACTTTTCCATCAATCAAATAATTCAAACACCACACGAGTCATAACGCGACTGGAAATATTGATCTTCCTCGAGACAACTGTCATGGCCCCAGTCTTTCATTTAATCTTCACCGGGTAACATACTTTCGAAAGACCGGCTACTTTTTCTGATGTGCAGGATGGAAACATGAGCGTTTGGTCAAACGTAGCACTGCCTGGAAGGCTGCCGAAAGGCTTTTCAGTCATATGCGGGATGTAAACACCTTTGTCTGATTTCCTTTCTCCCACGATGAAGAAAGGGCCTGCTTCTGAGGCTGAGGTGAAGAGGAGAAAGTATACTCATGAATGCATTCCTCTGTGTGTGTGTGTGTGTGTGTGTGTGTGTGTGTGTGTGTGTGTGTGTGTGTGTGTGTGTTGGGGGGGGTATCTGCTTACTGTGCAGACATGTAATAGACAGGTGAACTGACTGCCTGTGAGATGCAATTGGCAGGTAGCAGCTGTAGCTCATTTTTAAGGTCAGAGAGACAGAACACACACACACACACCACACACACATAATGTGAGGCCACCTTATTAGTACTGTCCTGGTAATAAAGGAATCCGTAAAGGACTTCGTTTGGACAGATGTCTTCACAAAACTAACAAACTAGATGGTGGGAAGTAGCTTGTTATATACAAGCTTGAACACACAGAAAGGAGTTCAAACTTGCAAGTGTGTGTGTGTTGTCTTTGTATATGAAAAGTGTGTGTTCAGGGTTACTGTCTGTCAATATGTTCGCCCTGTGGGAGTGATCAATTGCTGTGATCGCTTTTCCTTTTCCTGTGTGAACAGGCACAGCCAGCTTTTAACCCAAATAGCCAGGCCTCGACCATCAGTCTGAATCACCGACACTTGCATTCAGGACAAGAATGGTCTTTGCTGTATTACTCTAATCCCTGAATTTACATGTGCAATAATATTTAGATATGAGTCGCTAATATTGCGTTTGTGACTTGATGTACAACAGCCTTAGAGTGCTGTTTACAATGCTAGGCTATTAGTGTAAATAAGATATTAATCAGTCCCTCCAGGATTTCGCGGGCCTTTTTGTGATGTTTGCAGCCCAAAATGCCTGATTTTGTGGCAGCTTTTCTTAAAAATTGCAAAGAAGGTTGCGATGTTTTGGGGCATTTGTTGGAATAATGGAAAACGGATATTGAACTGTGATATTTTCAACATCCGAATTATAGTTGAATCATTTAACAGTCCCATCAGGATTTTGCGGGCCTAACCCTAAAACAATTTAAAACAACTTACCTTGATTCTTTCAGCGCTTGCAATTGACCGTGTTGCAACAGCCTTGTCACAGTGATTTGACTCGTCTGATA